TCTCTAGCCCGTGCCGCGCCCGCTTAGCCCCCTCAATCCGGCCAAACAAAAGCTGTTTCGGCATGCGGTGGCTGGGCATGCGGGCTACATGACCCAGCCATCGCAGCCTTGCCTGCCGGAGGAGCTCACCGATGGGACCCTGCCCAGATCTTTCAAGGATTTGTGAGCTCCTCACACAATCCAGTCTGGTTAAACCCAGGATGGATCGTAGGCAGGCCAGCCTAAATGTTTCTAACCGGCGAAGATGTTCCATTAGGGGGGTCCACGTTTCGCAAGCATAGAGAAGGGAGGGAATGACCGTGGCCGAGAAGACCTGAAGCTTAGTGCGGAGCGACAGACCAGGTAGCTTCCACACAGCGTTACGCAACCGATGAAAAGATATTGCCGCTCGACTGATTCGGAGTGAGACCTCTGCTGTTAAACTGGAGCCAGTCATAAGCACACTGCCCAGGTATGGGAAACTCTCCACTCTCTCCACAACTGCCCCATCACCGATTGGGAGTTGTGGGGGTGGAGTGTCCGATGGTACAAAATACCCAGGCAGGTGCTTAGTTTTGGTGGGGCTGATGGTAAGGCCCCACCTCTTAGTGGCATGCTCCAGTCTCAGCAGCAGCGTCTCCAACTCCTCCTCTGACTGAGCAGCTATTACCAAGTCATCAGCATACATAACGTGGTTGAGCAATAGGGAGCCATCCCTTGACCGCACCCGGGCATCGATTAGCCTCCCATTATATCTGTACCATATGGAGATTCCCCCGGTACAGCTATTGAAGGCTTCACGAACTACGTGGTCAAAATAGATGTTAAATAATGTGGGAGCCAAAGGACATCCCTGTCGCACCCCAAGGTGTACAGGGAATGGCTCTGACTCCCGGCCACGTAGTTTTACCCGGGCCCGCTCACCATCATGAAGGTCCTTAATGATCGTGAGCAGAGGGTCAGGTACTCCAAAAGCACGAAGAACGACCCAGAGCCCAGGCCTACTGATGGTATCATAGGCCTTGACCAGGTCAATAAAGCAGAGATGTAGGTCTTGTTGGAATTCCCTACACCTCTGCTGTAGCAGACGGACAGAAAATATGGCATCTGTGCAGGACCGCCCTTTCCTGAAACCGCATTGGGGCTCCGCAAGCCTCTCCTCAGCGTGCCTGGCAAGGCGATGCTGAATAATCCTTGCCAGGACCTTTCCCGGCACACTGAGGAGTGAGATGCCCCTGTAGTTGTTACAGTCTGTGCGGTCCCCCTTCTTAAAAAGGGGGACCACCAGGGCATCCTTCCAATCCTGCGGAACCCGTCCAGTGGTCCAGACTGTTGTTATGATGTCATATAGGGCAGTCTGTGCACAAACGCCACCCTCCCTCAGCATTTCGCTTGGGAGATCATCTCTGCCCGCTGCCTTTCCTGGTCTCAGACTCCGGATCGCCTTCAATACTTCCTCAGCAGATGGCACCTCAGCCAGCCACTCACAGGGGGTGACTTCATCCAATATTTGAGGCACCGCAGCCTCAGCAGGGTCATCCTCACTTTGTGCCACGATGTTTTCCTGGCTGAGGGATTTTCCCTCCCCCAGGACCTCACAGAAATGCTCAGCAAATCTGCGAACCTGTTCCTGGGGGTCGGAAATTGGATCACCGTTTTTTCCCCTAATGATGGTAATAGGTGTGGCGCTGCAGGTTACTTTTTTGATGGAGTTAAATAGAGATTTGTGATCACGGGCCACTGAGGCAGACTCCATCTCCTCAGCAACCCGCGACCACCACCCATCCTTGCAGCGCCTCACGGCTCTCCGAACCTCCGAGCGAAGGCTGCGGTAAGCCTCCTCATTCTCTGACGTGGGATTCTGTAGCCGATGACAGTGGGCCTGTCGCTTTTTCTCAACCATCCTGAACAACTCCTCTGTCATCCAGGGTGTCTGGGGAGGTCTGGACCGTGTACCCAAAGCAGCCATTGCAGCTGCATGAGTCACAGTCCTAAACCTCGCCCATTTACCCTCGACATCAGGAGGAGTCGGGGACGATGCCAATCCCAGCCGCAAGCGATGATGAAATTCTCGCTTGCAACTTTCATCAGATAACTGAGACCAGGCCACTTTAGGTTGGAATGGGGTCCTGGGTGTACACCCACCACCGGAGTGGAAGAATGGCAGGCGCATCTTACAGATGACTAGTCGATGGTCAGAGGGCAGATCAGCTCCACGGTAGGTCCTGGTGTCAAGGACATGGGCTCGCATTCGCTGGTCCGTCACTATGTAGTCCAGCAGATGTTCTTGCTTGGACCCGGCATGCATCCATGATGTTGTGTGGATGCGCCGATGCCGGAACAGCGTGTTGGTAATTACAAGCCCATGGGCTGCACAAAAATCTAGCAGCCTCCTACCGTTGTTATTGAGCTGATCTGGCCCATGCCCTCCAATCACTCCAGACCAGGTGCCAGTATCATGACCAACTCGGGCATTGAAGTCACCCAACATGATGACTCTATCCCGAGGGGCCACTTTAGCCAGCACCTGTGACAGGAGGTCATAGAAGGCATCTGACTCATCGGCTTTGCCTGCATCCCTCCACGGATGTTCATCTTCGGTGGGGGCATAAGTAACCACGACCACCATTCCTCGCCTCCGGTTGATGGGAAGGCGAGCCCAAAGTAGCCTGGGGCTTACAGCTTCCCACACCTCACCGCCACGCTCCCACGCCCCCTTCATTCTTTTGTTCAAAAGAAGACCCACACCCTGTTGTTTGGCAGTCTGCTGCCCCGAGTAGAGGACTGTCCACCCCTCATGGTGGCAGGAGCCAGAGACGGTCCACCGGACCTCCTGAATGCCGCATAGATCCAGGCGGTACCGGTCCAGCTCCCGACAGAGGAGTGGCAGCCTCTCCTCTGCAGTGAGCGTTCGAACATTCCACGTGGCCAACCGTAGTGGCTTTTCGTTGTTTCTGGAGTAGCCCCGAGGGTAGGTATTCAATCTCCTGGCTCCGCCAATTGGGGTTTGGCCAGGAGACGTCATAGACGCCTGGCCCCCCGGGGCCTCCGGCACAAGCTTAGTTGTTACATATTTCAGTTTAATTCGTAGTTTCGTGGTAATTAATTGAAGGTGGAGGGGTTACCAGCCCCTCGCACCCGTCCAGAGCCCCCGTTTAGCCCCTGTGGTGGACACATATGCCATGAGGGGAGGAGCCAATCAAAATTGGATCTCCCCCCACAGCGCTGTCCACGACAGAGTTGCCCGTCCGGCACCGCGAGGAGGTAGGGGGTTGTTTTGCCGGACAACACTCACACACACACTCACCCACACACACACACTCACACACTCACACACACACACAAACACACACACACCCACACACACACTCACACACACATACACACTCACACACACTCACATACACACAAACAACACACACACTCACACACACACTCACACACACACTC